GGGGCTTGCGATGGCCAGTTGAGTGCCTTATAGGACGTGGGCACTGGATGTGTCCCCAGCCGGCGCTGTAATAACCGTCGATGGTTATATAGTTAGCTTATATGTGCTGGAAGAGGAGATCGGACTGGAGGTCTGGATAGCGTAACTTGCAACGCATCTGCACGGTAAGCAGGAGTTGTGGGTTCGAGTCCCGCTCCGGGCCGATTTTTTCTCCGAGCGGTTCTAAATTATTTAAATTAATTAATTAATTTATAATTATTAATATTAATAAGAGATGGCGCCTAACAGTGCCAAATTGATTACGTAATTTATTTAATAATTAGCATAAAACTAGCCCGATAGATTTTCGGCAGTCTGTTGGTATGTAGTTTAAACATGCATTATTATATGGATAGGATAGATAGGGTGTGACCCATATCTATTTCTGAGATCAAAGAATGTTGCAATGAGAAGAAATAAAACTCATATTTAATCACTGAGCCTTCTACTGCCCCCTGAAAGCCTCCAGCATCCACAAGGGGACGTTATTGCCCACTTTGAGAGACACTGTTCTAGTTGATATGCGCTTACATTGCATTTCAGGCCTAATATGCCCCTCTTCAGTCAACTAAAATTATTAAGAACAAAAAACTTTTTAACATACAACACTTTAAAAGACCTCTACACTATTTAAAAAGGATGCAAACAAATCAATTGATCTACCAGTATACCAGGATATTACTGGTTCGGCTATCTGAACAAGATTTCACGAACATGCAATACACCCTTGACATAAGCACGTATCAACTAGAATAAAGGTGAAAGAAAGCCAAGTGATTGTTAAGTTGCACTACATTGTGTTGGATAAACAATAGAAATAGAACACGACATGGTTTCAAGTTGATAAAAAATATTTCTGATTTTTGTTAATTGATTGTTAATTTTCAAGTGATATTAGTTTGTTGTTACATTTACTCTCTTAGTTAACCAACTGCTGAAGTTGAGACCAGATTTAAGCCTTTTGTTGTTGTGGACACAGGTTGGAATGCTGCCTTTTATAACACTAACTTGAACTTTAATTACAGAATGTTATATGAAAATGTACTAAATTTAGTGCAGTTCTTAAAATATGAAAATGAAACATTTTGCTAAATGGTACAATTAACACAAATGATAGATTCTATTTTTATTTTAAATTGCATAGTGAATATTAGTGCATTTTTACATTATAAGTGGTCAAAGCTATCTAGTTGAAATAATAGATTTTTTAAATTATTATCTTTTCTTTCTTTACGTTGATTACCTAATAATTAATTACAAACATTGCATTATTTAGAATTGTTTATTTTTCTAAAATTCTTATACTGTGACTGCCAGTTTTGCAGTACTCAAAATCTGCAGCTTTAGGTAGGACCTACTGTACCTATTTACAAATCAGGCCTCAGTTTCATACAGAAAGATAAGTAAATAATAAAATATTGAGATTGGCATTAATAAGTACAAAAACACAAAAACAATGTAAGCAAATTTTACATACAATTGAAGTACAGTAGAACCTCGATTATCCGGACTAATTGGGGATGAAGGTAGTCCGGATAAGGAAAAATCCGGATAATCGAAACAAATACTTTGTCTTTTAATGATAATACAACACGTTTTCTTTTCGATGACATATCGGTAATATTAAAAATAAATACTGTATTTAAATCGTGATCAAATTTTCAAGAAACAAATGTTTTATTGAATTTGTACTACTACTGACCAGCGCTAACAGACTAGCTATTGTTTAAAAGGCCCTCTGGCGGCTCAAGAAGACGGATTTTATAAAATAAAAAGCAGTTTAAAACTGCATTTTTATGAATAAAAATTTGACAAACTATCGTTTTATGACGAGTAAAATTTTTTCATCGCGGTCTCGGCTTTTAAGTAATGCATTAACCTTCGAGGCGCGAGGCCCTTCGGACCGCCAGGCATAGGCGGTGGCCCACGTTGCCCATACCTTACGCCGCCCTTGGTTATAGAAATGATGTAATTTGAGTATAAAATTATTTATAAATACGTATGTCAAGTTATATTTTTATTATGACGCAAAATATATTTAAGAGTTTACGACCACTGTGCCGGGTGAGACGTTGTTGAAACAAAAAATGTTATGCATTCCATCACGTACATAAACAGTGTCGTAATTCGCCAGATGCAAATCAGCAAATTCGTAAAATTTTTGTTTATTTTGAACAATCCGGATAATCGAAAATCCGGATAATAGAGGTCCGGATAATCGAGGTTCTACTGTACTTTTGGTTTGAAATGTTATAACTTCTTCAAAAATGTTAGAAAATGAAATAGAACAAAATTTAAATTTAAAAGAGTATTATCCTTGTAAAGGTAAGAACAGATTTAAACAAATGAATATAAAAATTATGCAGAAGTAAAAGTAAAAAAAAATATCAAACAGATTTGGAAATAATTTGTAAAATATTTGCAGAAATTTTTTTAGCCCCATATGGGCTGAGTGAATTCAGTGCAAAAAAGTAGTTATAAATATGCAGAAGGATAGAATGGGAGTATTAAATGACCAAAGTTTCTGAATGAAAAAGAACTCTCAACAAAATATTTTGTTATAGACACTAAATGTGCTGCTCACTTACCATATAAATTAACTCCATAAAACAAAAGTTGGAGAAAAGTGACAAAGTAATATATGTTCTTTTTTAAAATTTCTTGTAAAATATAAATTCAAATAAACATTGTAGAATGTATTATTGTAGAGTGAGTTAAATGTAGCTTTTATCTAACAACATATAAATGTATAAGGTAGCATAGATATCCTATAATCTTTATTATTATGTTGGGTTTAGTGGGTTCTACTCGGTTTACACCGGTGGCTGTGTACTATGCAGGACCAAAGTCAAGGCATAGCAACCAAAACAAAACTAAAATTAAATAAGTGTGTTAGTGTCTGTATTCAGGAATTTCCTAACAATGTGGCACTAAAATTATTAAGAACAAAAAACTTTTTAACATACAACACTTTAAAAGACCTCTACACTATTTAAAAAGGATGCAAACAAATCAATTGATCTACCAGTATACCAGGATATTACTGGTTCGGCTATCTGAACAAGATTTCACGAACATGCAATACACCCTTGACATAAGCACGTATCAACTAGAATAAAGGTGAAAGAAAGCCAAGTGATTGTTAAGTTGCACTACATTGTGTTGGATAAACAATAGAAATAGAACACGACATGGTTTCAAGTTGATAAAAAATATTTCTGATTTTTGTTAATTGATTGTTAATTTTCAAGTGATATTAGTTTGTTGTTACATTTACTCTCTTAGTTAACCAACTGCTGAAGTTGAGACCAGATTTAAGCCTTTTGTTGTTGTGGACACAGGTTGGAATGCTGCCTTTTATAACACTAACTTGAACTTTAATTACAGAATGTTATATGAAAATGTACTAAATTTAGTGCAGTTCTTAAAATATGAAAATGAAACATTTTGCTAAATGGTACAATTAACACAAATGATAGATTCTATTTTTATTTTAAATTGCATAGTGAATATTAGTGCATTTTTACATTATAAGTGGTCAAAGCTATCTAGTTGAAATAATAGATTTTTTAAATTATTATCTTTTCTTTCTTTACGTTGATTACCTAATAATTAATTACAAACATNTGAGTGTAAGTTTAATGGTGTGTTATTTGTGTCTGCTAGAGTTACTGCTTTATGTAGCTGTGATGTATCTCATTTCTTGTAGAAAAACTCTTGCAGTGACTGTATTTGTTTGTAGTGAAGGTTTGTAGTGAATGTCAATCAGACCACGTCCGCCATCTTTATGTGGAAGGGTTAATCTTTCTGTGGCGGATTTAGGATGATGTTGTTTATGCTTAGTACATGTTGTTCTTGTTTTCCTTTGGAGTTGCTCCATATCTGTGTGAGTCCAATGTATAACTCCAAAAGAGTATGTGAGTACTGGGATGACATATGTGTTTATTGCTTTAACTGTGTGTTTTGCATTTAACTGTGTTCTAAGTATAACGTTTAACCTACTTTGGTATTCTTGAATTAATCTTTGCTTTATTTGTGTATGTTCTGTTAGTTTGGCCTGTTGGAATCCTAAATACTTGTAGAACTCGCCCTCTTCCATGGATTCAATAACGTCTCCATTTCCAAGTGCAAAATCTTCTTTCTTCAGGATTCCTTTTTCTATGTGAAGTGTTTTGCATTTGTCTAAGCCAAACTTCATTTGTATGTTCCTGGTGTATGAATGTGTGATTTGTAGGAGTTGATGAAGTTGTTTATGTGTAAATGCATAAAGATATATGTCGTCCATGTACATGAGATGTGACAGTGTAAACTGTGTTGTTTTTTCATGTGTGATATTGTAGCCGTATTGTGTGTTGTTTAACATGTTGGATAATGGGTTCAGGACTAGGCAGAACCAGAGGGGACTCAAGATCTCCTTGAAAAATTCCTCGCCTAATAAATATTTGGTTTGTTTGTATGGAAGTGTTACTAACCCTGAGATGTAGCATTGTTCTCCAGTGCTGCATAGTGTTTTGGAAGAATGCAATGAGTGATGGATGTATTTTGCACATATGTAGAATATGTCAGTCAGTCAATATCTTTATTATATACAACAGTTTGTAGATGCTGGGTTTTGCATGGCATTGTGGCGAAACGCCATATTATTGTATACGCGCTAGTCGTAACTCTAGTGTTTAAGAATCTTCTTTGTATTCTTTGTCTTCTCTTTTCTGGATTTTTCCACCCTTCCTTCACTTCCTGTTCGTTGGAGGGGGGCAACACCGTTACGAGAACGAGGCCAGAAAAGGAGTTGGGCCTCGAGGTAAACGGGGGAGACTCTTTCTCGAAGTAGACGAGGAAGCGAGCGGACGGACATCTCGGACAAGATTCATTCTCGGAGAATATAAGGACAGTGGCTGAGTGATCCATCGAGGGAAGAACAGAGAAGATTTTGACCGAGAATTATTTGTATCGTCGAACTGAATTACAGTTTCCCTCTCCAACAGGAAGATATCACATCCAACTATTTCGGGTACCCCCTTTCTCTAACCTTTCTATACGTTTTCCTACCTGTGCTATACTATCATCATTCCTTAATTTAATCTTAGCTTGTAAGATAGTTATAACCTTAGTAATTAAGTTGGTCGTTGTGCTCTATTGTCGCGAACCTACCTTCGATGTGTAGCACCACGTGCATAAAGCCTTTGTTTCCCGATGTACACGTGTGAGGTCGATTAGGGATCCGGTTTACTTAATTTCATTATTACCCCACAAATTTTAGTGGGAGCTTATGTAATTTTCTTTTGTCCACGAATAAATCCTGTATTTTACCATATTTTTGTTTGTTTGTTTTTTGGTCCTTTCGGGGCTCCGTGCACATTCAATATCTTAACACCATTACCAGGAATGAAAACCAGATACAGTAGTTGTTAACTTGTTTACAATACAGGAATTACAGAGATATCAAGAAGTAGGTTGGAATAGTATACAAGAGTAAATACAATGGTTATACAGGTATAGCAATGATGTTGTAGTTAAATACAAGAATGATATAGTTATTTACAATTTGTTAACAGTATAAGGTACATACAGAATTACAGTGATGGATTTTGAAAGGTATACAAGTACAGACACTATGCAATATTACAAGTGTTAATGCAAAATAAAACATAAGTGTATAAGTGTAGAAGGAAAAAGCACATAAAATACATAAAATTGAGTACAATACAGCGAATAAAGTAATGATGCATTATAATAGTGTAAAATACAATTTGAGTATAGAATACAATACATAAGAGAAGTAATACAAGCCATTACATTACAACTTTGAAAACAGTAGCAGTTAGGTGGCATACATACAGTATTTACAGATGTCTGTAGCAGTGGCAGAGGTAATGAAAAGAACAAAGCCTAGTGAGGAACTACTCATGCATGGTGATGTGTGCCACTTGCTCATAAGCAAGCACTAGGTTACGAAAAGCTGTATAAAGATCTTTGTGTTTAAGGAGATCATGTTGCTGACACGGCCAGGAGATGTTTAATTTCTGTGCAATTAGTTCAATTTTGAGATGTTCCCTTTTAAGGCACATGCATCTGTAAAGATAGTGGTGGGACCGTCCACCTCCCTACAGATGGCACAAAGGAGAGTACTTTTACCTATAAAGCGATGGAGATAACTGGAAAATCTCCCGTGGCCAGTAATAAACTGAGTAAGGAGAGAATTGATATTAATCCAGGTATGGCAGTAGTGCTTGTAGATATAAGGTGTGAATTGATAGGTTAGGTTACTGTGGTTGTTGTCCCAAGAGTTCTGCCAGTGGAGAAGAATATCGTTATACAAAATACTTTTGATTTTGCTATGGCTGAGCATGTTGTATATGGGATCCAACTTATTTTCATTGGCGGCAGCCTTTGCCAGCTGATCCGCTCTTTCGTTTCCAGCAGTGCCTTGATGCCCACTGACCTAGCTGATACTATAACTGTTTGAGGAAAGACAAGTGAGATTTTTTATTGCTGTTGTGATAGGGTGAAGCTGTCTGCTGTTGATGAGAGCAATGGCAGACTGGCTATCTGTTGGTCATCAAGATGCTGTTCAGACCAGCCAATTGCCATATGAATGGCTTTGAGCTCAGCCTGAAAGATGCTGCATAAATTGTGGAGCCTATAAATCTGGTGGTGGTGGATCTCATGCTGTCCTTGATGTACAATGAAGGCACAGCCTTCGTTCTCATTTAGCCCAGAGCCATCCGTGTAGATCTCTACATCAGGGTTTATAGGCATGTCTTGTGCTGATGTAGTTGCAGATATAATTGGGAGTGAGATCACTGAGCAGATTTATTTTCTCATAATTGTCAGCAAGAATATTACAAGTAGTAGTGCAGATGTCGTGACCAGTTTTCAGCTGCCAAAGCTCATATCTGGCTTGGATAACGTCGGTAATGGGCGGTATTTGGGTAAGAATCTGCAGACTTCCATTGGGCGTAGTGTGGTAGGCCCCAGAGATGAGGATCAATGCTTTGCGCTGGGATGAGATAAGCTTTCTACGTGGATGTACCCAGTGGTGATATTCGAAATATTTAACAAAGGGTTCGCTAACAGAAAATTTTTCCTTAACAATTTTTTTCGCTCAAATGGTGCATCGGAAGGCTCTAGTTTAGTAGTGTTACAGAGTATAATACGTATATTTTAATATATTTTTTAAAAGAATCAAAACCATTGAGAAATGTTACATGTGTTTAACAAGGTTCAGAAAACTTTGAAAATGTTAACAACGGGTTTGGCCGAACCTGTGCGAACCCGCTGAATATCACCACTGGATGTACTTTTCTGGCAGCCCAGCCCCAGCTACCACTTCCATGTGTGATGATGGGAGTGAATATGTGATCATATATGATGCTGAGGGCAGCAGACTTTAAACCCTACTTTTTACGTGCAAACTGAGAGAGAGCCCAAAAAATGAGGTTGGTTTGGTTGGTTATGTATTTGATATGGTCGTCCCAGTTGAGACGATGGTCCAGCCAGATGCCAAGATACTTAATAGTTTTTTAATAGACTGATTGTTCATATGGATAGTTGGGGTATGAAGGTGTAAATTTGGTTGTCTTGGTTTGTTGAATACTATGCATGTGGTCTTTTCAGGATTAAATTTGAGTTTATGCTTAAGGCCCTAGTTGTAGATTTGCTCAAGTGTGTCACTGCTTTTTTTCTCCAGTGCTGCACGTGAATTACCTTTAATTAAAATTAGAACATCGTCTGCATAGGTAGTAACGTTGTTGTGACCAAAATCCTCAAGTAGAAAAGGATTAAAAGTGAGGTTCCACAGAAGTGGTTTACAGACTGACCCCTGTGGGCAACCATGGGTGAT